AGGAATGTGGTTGTCCCACAGCTGTGGCACGGGGTGGGGAACAGTGGGACTTGTTTAGAGATCTCAGGAATGCCAGAAACAAGGTAGGAGTGGAGTGAAGGATGGGAGACACCCCCACTGCCTCCCCTTTTCATCTAACCCAGGTGAGGCAGTGTTCTTTATGAATCAGTGCCTGAACTCAGTAATGGACTGGATGAGGGCCAACAAACGGACTCAATCCAAACAAGACAGAGGTGAGAAGATTTTTAACTAGTCCTGCATGGGGTCACACTCCCCCTAAAGGACAAGGTCCATAGTTTAGGGTGCTCCTAGGCCTGGAATTATCACTGAAGTCTCAAGTGGACTTGGAGGCTAGAAGCACCTTTTATCAGCTACAACTGATTCACCAACTGTGGCCTTATCTAGACAGGCAGAGTCTGGCCACAGTTATCCACGCTCTGGTAATCTCTTGTCTATTGTAACATGTTCTACATAGAAACATGTTAACATGCCTTTGAAAATGGTCTGAAAACTTTAACAGACTTAGAATAGGGCAGTGTGTCTACTAACAAAGACCGGCCCACAAGATCATATCATGCCAGTCCTCTATCAGCTGCACTGGCTGCCAGTTGAGATCTGGACCCAATTCAGAGTGTTTATTTCAACATTTAAAGCCCTAAATGGCTTGGGACCAGGTAATCTGAATGATCACATACTCCCATGTGTTCCTACCCATTCATTAAGATCAGTTACAGAGGTCCTTCTCAAGGGACCTCCAGCTAAAGAAGGGGGTGGTAAAAAGAAGAGCCTTTTCAGTGGCACCCCACCTCTGGAATATGCTCCCTAGAGAGGAACACCTGGTACCATCTTTATTATCCTTTCAGTGCCAGGCAAATATCTTTTTATTCATGAGATATTGTAAAAATAAATAACTGGAAAAGTTTATATAATTATATTATAATATTATATTACTACTACTGTAATATGGGATTAATTTTTTTATATGGAGTCATTCCTGCTTGCATTTTTAGTGTTGTTTTTAACATTTTGTCTTTCATCTGAGTATTTTATTGTTTGTATATAGATTTTTAATGTTTTAATGGACCTCTGGGCTACTGGGGTAGTATATAACTGTAATAAATAAATAAATAGGCAATCTGAAATTACAGAAAATCCAGTAGCAAAATCATCAGTGAAGCTAAGGGCAAACATAGTAGGAGCTTTCCAAAAGCAGATGAGGTGTCAAGGTTGGATCCACATACCAGTACCACAAGGGGAGAAGAAAATAAAATCAGGGAGTTGGGTTGCACAGAACTGAGGGCCCAAGTTGCTCCAGCATCAGGCTTCCTTTGGGAAGTTATGTAGCTGAAACAATTATTGTAATCTGTGAAAAATGAACATCACCTATTTTATTGATCTACCCACATAAATCTTAATGGGAGTACTAACATGCCAAGGTCACAGGATTAAGTGAACAGTGATGACTGTAAACCATTTTCTGCATATTTGAAAGGTTTTTACTGAGTTACTTAAAGTGCCATAAACCTAAATAGTCTACTATTGATGAAATATATACATGTCTTAGTACTTCAAAATATAATACCCCTGGGCAATGCAAGTTTACAACCTAACCCAAAGCCTTTGTTGTTGCTGAAAATATCAATATGTTTAGGGATTAGATAGTATGGGAGATGGATCCAGCTCATTTCATAACTTCAGCATTCCTTGTGTGTATGCTATCAATTTTCTCCAGCTTTTTAAAAACAACAACAACAACCTGTCAAGAGATAGCAGGATATATCCAAGCTGTTCTGTCTGAATTCTCAACAGAACATGCATGTTCTAAAAGTCTGTACCTGCCATAAAGCCAGCGTGTAAAATACTAATCTATGTTTCTATGACACTACTTTGATTATTTCTTATCTTCCTCAGTCATTTTAGCATCAATTTTAATTATCAAGAAAGTTCATGCTAAGTTTGAGGATTAGTTGAGACCTGCACATGGTCAGTAATAGAGATATGGAAACACATTTTCTTGTCGCTTTGCTAAAAAGTTTCCATTTATACTAAGTACTAGATTTTTTTTTAATGTCCTGCTGTCCTGCTCCATCGGAAAGTCCACTGTATTCTCAAGGCTGCAGCTGGGGTGAGTCTATGATGGGAGGTAACTTATGTGGACAGGCCCAGAACTGAGCAGATTCTGAACTGCAGCCTATATGGCAATAACAGCCAAAGAATTTTGGTTTGGTTTCAGGACCGTGGAGAGCGATTCTGCAGCCAGAGTGAGTTTTCTGCTAGGCTACCAGTCTTTCTAGAAGCTTCTCTTCCTCAAGTGCTTGATTTGACTGTTAAAGGGCCAGTATTCACTTCTAGAGCAACATCTCTACAGAATCTCCGACAAAGAGTGTTAAGGAAGCAAGAACCATATAATGGAAATGCTCCTCAAGAACTCCCTGTTCAATGGAGGATTATAAGATTCAGATTCAGAGGGCAGTGGCACCTGGCGGGACACCTCAGACTCCCAGTCTGTATCTCCCATATTCAGATAAGTGGATTTCTTCACCCTTCTCTCCCTACAGCACCCAGTAAATGCTACACAGAGGGTTAAGAATATTGCTGATTGGGGCATAAGAAAGTTTTCTTAACAGTAGCTACAATATATTGGGAATTACAAATTAAGCATTTTCACCTTTGTACATATCCTTCACATGAAAGACACCTCCATATAATTTGGGAGATCATCCCTCTTTTTCAGCCCCAATCAGCAAGTGCCCCAGACTCTCTGTGTATTATTTTGTTGTGTTGGCAAGGTTGCCGTGTAAACAAGGCAAGGGAATCTGCTTTCACTAACCCACCTGCACATGCTTACACCTGTATGCAATTCCATGTATTTTGAAGAATGAAATACGAAGCAGCCATCATTACAAGGATAACAGAGACACAGTCACCAGGAGTAAATCTAAACACTACCTGAAGTACTTGTTAATTCTGGCTAAAAAAAAAGTTCTTAACCTGAAAGTCCACAAGGTACGTAGGTTCCAGAGGAAAAGATATGTAAGCAAAAAGGAGAGGAAGTGCTATTCCTGGTAGCAGTATGCCTCACCTCAGAAGATTAAATGCTCCCTATACACACTCTTCACCTACTCTTTTGTAGTTTACAGTGAAACCTAACCTCAAATTGATATAGCATTATGTATCCATTTTTAATATATAGCATAATTGCATACTGATAAAGAAATAAAGTCTTAAAAGAACTAAGGAATATATGGAATAATAGACCAACAATGTAATCCTGTGCATGTGTACTTCAAGCCCAACTACATTCAGTGGGACTTTTCCAGATGTGTATATAAGATTTCACCTTCAATGAGTATCAATACATCACATATAAAGTATATGCTTTTCGTTCTCACAATAAAACTAATACAACACATATTCCTAAAAAATGTTGTAAATAGCACTTCACATATTAAGTTACCAAATTTTTGCAAATGAATGCAGCTATAGATCATTGATCATTTCACGTGATGACTTCATTAATTTAAATATTCCCATACCATATTCAATGGCAAAGAATCAGTTTTGATGTTGAAATCAGCTTTGGCTTTTGTTGCGAGAAGTGCTGTTTTGATCTCTTTCCTTCAGTGGTTAGTTCATTTCATTATTTGATGGGTCTTTTCTTATCTCCTGCCCCCATTTTTGCCTCAGTTACTCATCTTTTCTATAGTCTTATTTCTTTGGTTTTCCGTTCAATATTCAGTTTCACTTTTAGCTAGGATTTACTTAACCTTAGCATTTGCACTAGCTTTCTTTCACTTTAAATTTTATTTTCTCTTTTTATCTGGCAGCCTGTGTTTCATCTGACATTTTATTTGACAGCTTTTTCTCTATTGAGTATCTTGTCTTGCTTAGGATGGCTTTGACTACTGTTTTTATTTCTTTATGTCTTTCTGATGGCTGTTCATTTAAGCTTTTCTTGATCTATATTTCCTTTACTTTCAGCCAGGTTGCTCTAATCACATCTTTTTAATCATTCTCTTTTCATTCTATATATCCAGATTCAGATTTTCTCCTATGGGCTATGTTCTAACTGAGCTATTTGAGCTACAATACATCTTTGGATCTCAAAAAAGATAGATGATTCATTGTTAACATAATCATCCTCAAATCTATATTCTTACTGGTTTCTGAAATTAATATGATTTCTAATCCTTCTAGTTCTCATTTTTTCCAGATCACATTTCTTTTACCATGGTTTTACTCCTTTTAGTTCCTTACATTTGGGCTAGAATTTCAGTTTCAAAAGGAAAACTTTTTGCTTACTATAGCTTCCTTGACTCAGCATATTAACCAAGCAGGCATCTCCCTGAACTTGAGAAAGCCTTCCATAGTTTCTAGTATACATTCTAGGTGAGCTTGTATTATCATAATTTTAAACAACTATATGGGCAGTTTGCAACAGTACTTCAAGTACAGCAGTCCACTTCCCCATCACTCCCAGGCCTCCTTACCAGTCTCAGAGTACAAAGTGTCCAAATGTGTTGGACACAGAGTAATGTGTTCCATGGGCATTTGCCTTTGAAGACTATCCAGAAACTGTAGTTCATCCAAACTACAGCTGCTACTGGTGAGATACAGCTACACTGCTAACTGGATAGGGATTCTACTTCACTAATACTTAAATTGATACATTGGCTTCAAGTCTGTTTCCAGGTGCAATTCAAAATGCTAATGTTTACTTTTGAAGCCCTATACAGCTTGGAATCAGAGCATCTGAAGGGCTATGCTGGAAATCAAACTGCAAAACCCACCACCTGATGACCGACTCTTCATTTGAAAATAGAAAACCTTAATGTAAGATTGCATTCACTACTAGACTATGCCTAAAACTCATAATGGGCTCTATGATCAGGAATAGGTTTTGGTGAAATGCATTAGGGTTGCATTATAAAGACATGACAGATCCATTTAAAATACCAGGTCAGAAGCATATAATTGTGTTATGATGATTAACAACATACCTATGTGACACAGCTCCCCAAGCACCATGCTTATTTGTTAAGATATTCAGTATTTTCTGTTTCAGCTGATTTGCTGTAACATGATCTCGATGCTTGGCTGCACTGATCAGGTGATCGCACATCTTCTCCTCTTCTCTTCTGTCAGCAGCATATTGGGCACACTGTGACTAGAAAGAAAAATCATTCTTATTATTTCAGTAAGCAAGTTTGAAAAGTGACTAAAGACTTATTCTTAATTATCTTACATTTACCCCCTTTTAGCAATGGCTACTTTTTTAGCACCTGTTATTATTGGTATATTAGGGATCCAGAATAATTTTTTGTTTGTACAAGAATGGTTTATAATATCTGATGATTCCTTCACCAGATGAAATTCTCTGTACAACATCATATGTAGTCCCTGATGGTCCTCTGTCTCTTGGGAGTTGTTTTTCAAAGGACAAATGAATGAATTCCACTTGTAGTTGTTAGAAGCCAACCACAGAAAATATAATGGTAACATGGTTCTTAATTGATCTTGGCTTCCTTTCTTTAACTAAACATTTTAGGCAGTGACCTGGATGGGAGACCTCAACATGTAATTCATTCTCATGTTCCCACCAACCTAATCCATGACCCTGTTCACAGAAGAAGAAACGATAAGCAAGCAGATTTGAGCAGGAAGAAAAAAAAACAATTTTTTGTAATCTTGTTTTGTAGTTTCCAGCACAGGAGAGATACACTGGTTCCAATCTAAATTGTATCTTTTCCCTACAATCTCATGTACTTTCCAGATCTGGACCAGAGAGTCCATCAATCCTTTGGAATAGATTTGGAGGCCATGTGGGAAAGAGAAAGCTGCAGGAATCCAGGACATGAGCTGGAAGCAACTCTATAGCAGGTCAGTTTAGGAAGAATGGATGTAGTAAGTTGTTATGATTTTTAGATTCATAAATGTGCTTCAATCAAGTTATTATATGCATTTATCTTTATTCATATTAATGCTATTATATAGGAAGATCATAATCATCATAATGAATTTGAGTTGATTTGTACACAGGACAGCTTTCATATTAAGTCAAACACAATACATAATCACTATTACTTGAGCATATCACTAAACACAGCTATAGCTCAATCAAAAAATAAAAGGCCCGGGAGAATAAAAGGCTAAGAGGAAGGGGAAATAGAAAGAGCAAGGACTGAAACAAAATAAGAAAAGGGTGTGGCTCTGGTCCAACTTTCCAAGAGCACGTGGTACCTGGCATTAACCCAAAACAACATGATCCTTGACAGAAACAAGGTTTACACCCCAGTTTTATACTATACTAATAGAAATACCTGTTACCTGAAGGAGCGCTTACATCCATATATGCCCGGCTGCCCCTTGAGATCGGCGGGAGAGGCCCTTCTCTGGGAACCCTCAGAAATTAGGAGGGTGGGTACTCGGAGGAGGGCTTTCTCTGCAGTGGCGCCTAAGTTATGGAATGCGCTCCCCAGAGAGGTCCGCCTGGCGCCGTCGTTGTTTTTCGGCGCCAGGCGAAGACCTTTTTATTTAAGCGGCATTTTAACTGTTAATATTATTGGATTTTATCTGGCCAGGGCAGCTTATTTTATATTGGTATTTTTGTATTTTAATTTAATGTCTATATTTTTTTATTTAATATTAGAATTATTTTTTTTAACTTATTGTTGTAAGCCGCCCCGAGTCTTCGGTGAATGGGGTGGCATAAAAATGTTTTAATAAATAAATTAAATATAAATAAATAAATAACATGTTTTTATAACAGTCTTTTAGCTCCACAAGTCTGTTTATGCAAAATCATAATGCAAACTGCTTGTACCAACATTGCACATTCTGCCCATTATGAAATACACGGATTTTGTTAAATTTATTTTAAGAATACAGACATGATGGGGTTAATTAATTTTTCAATTTATCTTCTTGAACCAAGAAGCACCAATTAGCACAATGATCTTCTTCAGTAATGAGGATAATATTTCATCAGCTCATTGGGCAGTTAAATCAAAATTAAATTTTTCATCCTGAGTGATTATAGAAGCAAGCTGAATGAATGTATGTTAACTGTGAAACATTGCTTTGAGACTACTTGGACTTGCTCAAGGACAATATTCTAAAATGTAAATAATAACATTCATGAAATAAACTTTGAACTGTTAGCTTTATGTCACACAAGCATACAAGATTCTGTAACTGCATTTCTAATGTAGTATTAAACAGGGAGGTTAGTCAAACGTTACATGTAACTTAACAAAACCTACTTGATTACTTAAATGCTTTTTCATGAACCAAAATATAATAAATAAATATGAAAAAATGTGCAATAATTTGTAATATATTTTTAAAGCATCCCCACAAATGATGGCACAGAAGTAGTATTTGGTAAGTAGGTATAAAGATCAAAAGCAGCTAAATATGTTTTCTATGTCCAAATGTGCAAATGGCATGTATGTTTGCTTAGGCAAGAATTCCAAGAATCATGCACATGGAACAGTTGTTGCTTGTTTGCTTTTGTGGCCACATGGGCTCTTGTGGAAAGGATGTCTCAGAGGCCAAAGAACATAAGACATTTCCACCTGTGGCTATTTGGATCCTGTCCTTAATATTTGCTTAAAATCACACAGTTTATATTGTCTTGCTAAACATCATGTATTTTATATTGCCTATCCAAAAATCAGACTTTTTAAATAGCAAGATAACAAAAAACGGTGACTTATGTTTGATTCTTATGTTTGAGAGGTCTTGGTTTGCTTACTAGAAAATTGACTTAAGGTTTCCCCTTAAGGGAATTTGGATAATATTCTAAATTGTATTTGCTAACTGAAGCTGGAAGCTAATTGAATATTCTCATTTTGTCTAGGGTTCTGACAGATCTTATAGTGCAACAAATTCTTCAAAGGGCAGATAACTCAATCTTCTACTGTCATCTTGGTTTACTGCATGATGCTCTGATAAATATCAAACGTTATTTACTGGTGAAGCAATATGAAATTTCAGTGTGACATATACTTAATTGTAAATGTGATTTTAAAAAAAAAAGTCTAAACTCAAAATATCCAGACTATAGTTGGGAATAAATTTGTTGCAATCTCCTATGACAAGTGACTGTTTTCTTGGATGACAGAAGAAAGGAAAGGTTATATGTACTGAGAGAAAAACATAGGACAAGGAGCTGTTTTGAAACGATGCCAAAAAGGAATATATGTGTGTATATATATATATATATAACATGAATGTATAAATAGAAAAGTTTAGAAAGCAGACCAAAAACCCTATCCTACACATTATTCCTCTTCTCTGTCTTCAATCTTATGCAACACTATATGAGAGCCAGTGAGGTGTAGCTTGATCTTAGGACATTTGGTTTCTAGTCTCCACTTCCCCATGAAGCTCATTGGGTGACTTGGGCCAGTCATGCACTCTCTGCTGTGATAATATAGAGAGGAGCAGGAGGTTTATGTAAACTTCCATCCATTTCTTGAGGAAAAGACAAGTATACTTGCTTCAAGATGAATATACAAATGACTAAGTATAGAATCCTGTGCATATTTAGACAGAAAACCCGCAGCATTTCCCAACCAGACAGACTTTTTCTCTCCAAAGATTGTTGCCTGAATTATACTATTCTTTCAAGGAGAAAAATGTGACCAAATGGTTGGACAGAACACTCCTAAGAAGGGCTTGGGAAGTGGGGAATGGAAGAGTGAAAGAGCAGACCTTCTGCCATTTTCAAAGCTCTGCCGGCTTATGCAGACCAAAGCATGAAGTGTTGGCGATGGTTTGCTTCCTTACTGTGCAGATCTTTCATTATCTTAACCATCTTGATCATTGGTTCCAATGTGGGAGAAATTTGCTATCTCCAGGCACTGTGCCATCTGGCAATCAAAGGAGCCTTGGAGTCAACAACCCAAGGACATCTTCACCCTGCCTTCACCCTTTGTTCACCTTGTTTTTTTTGAACTTTGCAACAGCTGCCACCTACAGAGTCCACTGGTAAAATTATGTCACTAGAGCTGTCCCTGGACATGGGAGGGACATTGATGAATCAGCAGAGGGACATCTTGCCATCCTCAACAACTCCTGCTAACTCTTCTGGTTTAGGATTGTATGGTAAGGAATCTAAATACATCTCATTTTTAAAAAATCCGAATTACAAGACCTAACCAATATATTCTGAATAGAAAAGTTGGGAATGTTGAGAATGGAATTATGTATCTATCTCTGTGGGACTGGAACAAGACTAAGTAAGTTGACTTTATTCCTGATAGCAGTGAATGGGACTTAAGTCCTGGTTAACCTGTTTCATTGATTTAAGTGGGATAGAAGTTCATCTTAGTCTAGATCCAACTGTTGTATCCTGAATTATCAAACAGATCTGCTCAAAGGCATTGGTTACTTCCCAATTAGACTTCTGTAACACGCTCTATGTGGGGCTGTCCCTGAAGACGGTCCAGATACTTCAGATGGTGCAAAATAGAGCTGCCACGTTGCTGACGGGGACTGGGCATCATTCTCATATAACCCCAGTTCTCTGTCAGCTTCACTGGCTCTCCATTGAAGTCTGGGCCCAATTCAAGGTGCTGGTGATTACCTATAAAGCCCTAAACGGCTTGGGACCTGGGTATCTGAAGGAGCGCCTGCATCCATACTTACCCTCCCGCCCTCTAAGATCGGCAGCAGAGGCCCTTCTCTAGGAACCCTCCGTGAAAGATATTAGGAAGGTGAGTACCCAGAGGAGGGCCTTCTCTGCGGTGGCACCCCACTTATGGAATGTGCTCCCCAGAGAGGTCCACCTGGTGCCATCGTTATTTGTTTTTCGGCGCCAGGCCAAGACCTTTTTATTTAAACATTATTTTAATCAATTGTTAAATTATTTATTGGTTTTATTTATTGCCTGGATGTGTCCAATTTTATATTTTTGTATTGTTATTTATTTGCTGGAAGCCGCCCCGAGGCTTATGCGAATGGGGCGGAATACAAGTATCCCAAATAAATAAATAAATAAATACTAGGAGCTCAGCCATACTAGGAGCTCAGACCCACATTTCTGGGGCATAGGTATTGTTACTGCAAGTATAGCAAGACAGCATCAACAATAAGAAAGCTAGTATAAAATGTTTTACATTACTGTTCCCCAGTGAACTGAATAGATGTCTTCACTGAGAGTTCCAAAAGTTGGAGTTCCAGCTATTAGCTGGCAGATGAAATTCAGAAGACTCATACAAGTCTACAGATGAAACTGTAGTAGAAACTTTAGAATTAAGATCTTTTATGATGTAATTGTTGACCTATTTACTGTGCAGCACTTATCCTGTAAGAGGAGTACCTGGTATCTCCCTAGCTCACATTCTGTAGTAATACTGTAATAATTCACACATGTTTTTAATGGCTATTCCTTCAAGGACAGTGCCACAGAGTACCCAGTCTAATACATCATGGATTATCATCCTTCTGCCATTTATGGTCCCTCCCCCACAATAAAGCAAAACAATGTCAGGGCACAAAAGTATAACTATAACCTATAAAAGTAAAGTATAATGAGCTTCAGATTTTTGAAAAAAATAGACTCCGAGCAAAGGAACAAAAGAAGATGCAGATCATCTTGATCTCTTTATAAACCTAAGATTTTCAGCTAAAATCTCCAGCCAACAGAATTAAAATCTACTCAGGGGAAGCTTTTCATAAACCAAACTGTTGTTATGCAAAGAAAAGGTCAATGGATTGAGCACTGTTATACAGATATTGTTGTTTTGCATACCTCAAGAAGGTTTAAACTCAAGATTATCTGCACTTGTTGAGGGTTGAAAGCCATTCTTATACTTACTGAATAGCTAGAACAAAAGTTTTTCATATGCAGCATTGTTCTTACCTGAGCTACTTTCATCTGGGATCTAAAATGACCCCAACTGTGACTAATGCTAGGTTGTTTTTTTAAAGACAGGATATGAGAAGTTCTTTTGCTGAAAACTGGGATAAAACTATTCAGAATATAAATAAAACATTTCACTTACTAATAGTGTAACAAGTATTCTCTGAAATTTAAACATCAATTCAATAAAAATGTGTATTGGCCACCCTACTCAGTTTCAAAAATTCTTTACTCAATGGCCCAGCAGAATGTTGCTTAAAATGGTCAACTAATAGTACACTATTCATTATAGGTCAGTTCCTGGCTAAAGCAGAGTTAAAATGTACATACAAATTGATAACATAATTGATAACATTTAAAATATGTATATTCTGCCAATCAGTCATAATTTATGAATTGGCTACAGCATTTTAAAACATGTAAGACAATTAACTCTAAAATGTATTGGGTTGAATCCAGGCTTACTCATACTTAGAGCAGCCCCACTGCAATCAATAGGACTTAAATTAATGATGAATAACTTAAGTCCCATTGATCTAAGTGGATCAGGAATCAACAAATAATGAAAGAGCAATTTGTGATACTACCAATGTTTAAAATACTTATTTTTAAATATCCATAGACTAATTTTTCTTTTAATCATACTTATTATATAGGCTTACAGTGAAGGTTATAGTTGAGTGAAAAGAGAAAAACAGGGATTCATATGTTGCCAGGCTTACCTCAAATTCTGCATGTTTGTGTACATCTTCAGCTCTTTGCCTGTTCAAAATAAATTCTGCCTCATTTGCAACACGTACAATGTGGTCTTTCATTGCATGACACAATAATCTGAAGAGAAAAAAATTACTAGCTCAGTTCTCATGTGTTTCCATTAAATGTTTCAAAGTTTAACACATTTTAAACTGATTTACATTAATGGGTAAAAATAAATTGAGAATTAATTGCACTGTAAAATCAAATAAAATCCAGCAACCAAAATTATATATTCAGCTTATTGCCATAATTAAGCACCACTTGTTTATGCAAAGTTCTTTATTTTGGCATCTGTTTGTCCTGGGAAAGCAACCACAAATATATTATGCATAACATGCACTTTTTATAATTACCTAGTTTCTATCCAACATAACTCCTAATGGCAATTTGAAATATACAAACTTTATTTTAAAATGCTATTATACATAATGAAGCAGGATTGAAATAATATCTTCTTTTTCCCTTCATTTTTCCTTAAGAAAGCAAACCCAATCTCTTGAATGAAATGTAAGTGTTAAATATTGGCTTAAAGGTCTGATCCAACCAAACACAATAAATGTCTTATCACACACTTCAGCAGAAGCAGATTTAAGCCAGTGATGAGTGCTTTGAAAATCCTGCCTTTGTATATTTATTCTTCAAAGGCAGACACTTCTGGAAAAAAAATCTTAGCTGTGGCAAAAGCTGTGTTCTCTACCAGGCACTTTCTTATCATGTGAATTTTGCTACCATAAGAAGCCAACTTGGTCATGATGGGCTGCCAAAACAAAAATAAAAAACCCTAACTACTGCATATTCATCGGCGATAACTTCAGTTATTTTACACTGCTTGTTTTGCGAGGTGTGTTCCAAATTCTGCTACAATGTTGCAAAAAATGAAAGCATTGAACTTTTGAATTCTTGAGTGTTTGATTGATGCTCCTTAGACCCATGTGGAGAAGCTTATGTAAACTGGTGGACACTCCAATTAATTAATCAATTTATTTATTAGATTTTTTTTAATTCTTCCCTATTATCCCTAAGGATCCCCGGGAATGATTTATTGTCATCTACTTATGATAACCCTTTTACATGTGATGCTTTGTGGAGCACTTGAGCGGAAAAATGCTCTTGGAAATGAAGACTGGAGAGGCACTTAAAAAAACAAACAAGTAACTTTAGTAGTGGCCAATTTTGAGTAAAGAGGTGGTAACGCTTAACACCCATTTGTCATTTTCTAGAGTCAGATCTCTCTACCAAGCTGCTTTTCCCCTACCACAGCTGGGGGAAGGATGTTGAGCAGAAAAGCTACAGTCAAGAAATGTGATGCATCCCTCATCTGCCTGCTTTTTCACACAAATATACTTTTCTTCAGAGACACCAAATACTACAGAGTTTTGTTATAAATATTTCCTTGTAAAGTAATGTGCAGTTTTCCTGAGATGCCAGATAATCAAGATGGAAAATCAAACATTATTTCCTTAAATATTTTAGCACCTTCTCTTACCACAAGCCAGTATTTGACTTCTGCAATACATACATACAATTCTAAGGCTCCTGTACATATGTACATATTTCGAATGTGCTTTATATATTTAATTTCATATTTAATGTATTAAGTTTAAGAATTACGATATAAGTATAAGGAAAAAGGAGAAAAATGAAGAAAGCTGTACATAAAAGTTATTGACCTTCCGAGTGGCTCAGGCAGATTTGGCTGAGGTCTGTAAAGATAACAGAACCCCCTTCCATTATGTCTGCCTTATGTAAGGGAGAAAGTAGAGTCATCAAAACTGTCCCTCAGTGGATACATATTTAAAATGTTATTTATTTAAAATAATTATGTCCTGCTAAACAATCACAATTTATGAGGTAGGTATAAAATTTTAAAACAACTAATACTAATGGTATCCTCCCACCCCTAATAATAATGGCCAGTTGCCTCCTCATGTGAATGGCAGAGGGAAGGCTGACTGAATGTACATAGTATTTCCCTGGTGTGTAGAATCCAGAGTGCCAGATCACATGGAAAGCCTACAAACAGTCAGTAGTTTCTTCTCTTCAGATATGACCCCAGTGCATGGATTGTGGGGGAAAGGGCCACCAGGTCTGCAACAAAGAGGTATGGCTTGTCTTCCTCCTCACATGTTTCCTAAAATCAAATTAGAAAACAACTAAATAAGCTGGCGTGTCTGGACACCAAGCTGGGGCAAAGGTAAAATTAACTTTCATTTCCTGTCCTTTCATTTGTGGTATTTAGAGTTCAGACAGCAAAGTCTCCAGGGTTCAGATAATAATGCTGTTACCTGTAGCAAGATGTAATATTATTGTTCCCATAATCTTTTCTATTATTTTTGCCACAGTTCCACAGCCTTCTAATTCTCTTTAGTAGGACCCAGGAATTTATGCAGGACATATAAGGTCTCCTCTTTTACTGTCTGTCAAGCATACAGACACATGTTGACTAGGAATTCATTTCTTTCACCTCCTTTTTGATGCTAAAATTCTAAAACAGCATTTGTTTTAGACTCCTCTATTTGCTCTATCTGAAATTTGTCTTTCACTTTCCAGTTTTGCAATATTAAAAACTTGCCTACCTAGGCAGCATACTTGATTAACTTGTTTTTCGTTTTTCTGAAGCACATATGCTTAGAATATATCCCGATATTAGGGTGATGAGTGAGCCATATTTATAATACAAAATGAATATTGTGGTTTATTTTGAACTTCTCCTTGTTAGATATGCTAGAAATATAATTATTCTAAGTCCAGAGACACAGAATAGCAAGAGAGTATCTTTTATCAGTGGAAAAGCATCCAAGCTTTAACATATACTAAGTTATTCACATGCCAATACAAAGTAGCTTATTCAAAGCTATACAAAAGGCCAAAATTGGCTTTAAAGGGAATCATATGAGCAAATATTTGTTGTTGTATTCAACAATATTATGACATTAATTTCCCAGATTTACAGTTGTTTTAGGAAAAAGAATGAATCACCAAGAACTTTCATTGCCAGAAATACTAACCACAGGCAGTAAGCTGTTGCTGTCCATATATATTTTACTAAAAATACTCAACAATCACAGTTGACTATCTTCCTATGCCATCATCATGACAATGTACAATAGCTCTGGTGAAAGCCTTATAAGTACAGATGGTTATTAGTTCATAATATTTGGTTTCACAGTGATCAATTCTTTGGATTTATTACACTGGATAATATTATTGATCAGTAAGTTGCCATTTTATCTAGATGTTAAAAACTTCTGCAGACAAATTTGCCTGTCACGCTGATATAATGCAACACCATGCAAATTACCTGCTAATGCTAAGTTTTATGATGCACTGTCACAAAAGCTGCAACATGCTGCTATAAATATCAATTTGAAGATGCAATGAGAATCTAAACAGTTTTTCTTTTTCAAGCACATTTTCTAAAAAAAATTAATATTAAGTGGCCAGTATCCAATATTTTAAATTACAAATTACAATATTTTTACAAAAACAGAAGTCCATTAAAGTGGAGATAAAGGCAGAACTAATGGAGAAAAAACTTTAAATGAGCCCGTCTAACTATCTGGATATAATTTAAAAACTAATCCCTAATGTTGATTATTCAACCTTATCCCAGTTAAAAACAGCAACTCAAAATGGAGTCCAAATCCAATTCAGAAATTCTTTTACTCTCTTCTTCAAATCACAATTTAAAATTCAATCATAATTGCATAGTAATTATATGCAATTTTACATTCCATTAACCTTGTTTTGTTTTAATTATAAAGCTCCTTTGTTAGATTCCTTTAAATGATCCAGTTTATAATTTCAGACTGTTCAAGGGAGCACTTTAATTCTACTGCACATTCATCAACTGTTTATGTCCTGTTAATTGTTGACAACAGCACAATTGCGTTCTCTAGCTATGATTGATGAACTGTATTCAAATGTTAGCTATTAAGAAGAATAAATATTTATAACAATTTCCTCTTTGGCATCAGAAGGGCAAAATCCAGCCAGAAAAACTACCAGTGAAGATAAGCACATGATCTGCTATGTATATTGGTTAAAATTACATATTTAAAAAGTGATTACAGAGATTTTATGTTCATTCATTTATGTTCACATTAACAATAGCAGGAACATTTTTTCTTGAAAAAATATTGATCACAGCATTCATACTAAAGATCATAAGCATTGTTATTTCTTCTGTGTTTATAACAGATAGTATCATATAATCAAATAAACTGTTTTAACTTGAAAACAGTGCAGAATATGGTTACAGTAGCTATATTTTAAGATAAAGGAGACAGAGTTTCCTTAGATTGTTTGCTTAACTAATTTCTGTTTTTATGTCCTAATGCTCCAAACAATATTAAGGCTACAGAGTAGTTGTTGACTTCTGCTCCAGTGATTAGAGGCAATCCATATAGGGTAATATCCAATGGTGTCCCTTCACAAACTCATCTTGCACTAGAAGGGCACCTCAAATCCTTCAATTGTGCAAGTCTTTACAGAGCATGAAAGTGGCCGGGCAACTTGTGCAAATGGAACTTTAGATGCCTTCACTCCTTCTACATAGTTCTGCTAATGAAACATAATTTGAACTAGTGGAATGACATGGCAATTTATCTCATTTATCACAAAATGGTATGAGAAAACATTTGCTCAAAAAGGTTAATTTATTAAAAAAAAACAAAACAAAGCCCTGTGTACTTCACTCTAAGTACTTTATTTTTCCAGCACAACACTCAATAAATTACAAATACACAGACTAGTACTCTGTAGCATGAACGTTAAAACTACTGTTAGTAAAATTACTATAAGCCTGATGCCACAGAATAAAACATGAAAAATAACGGAATTGGATTGCACCTCAATTTCTAACCATTTTCACATCTAGCTATCCTACATAAAGTATCTATTTTATATTAAAGTACCTCAAAGCTAGAATTTAGAAGTATGATAAAAGTAATGTTTCTTCATTTACTACATAAACACACCATTGTACTATGAAAGGGTTCTCCAAAACAGATGGGAATGACAGATGGATTTACAGATTGGGTTTCTTAGATTTTATCTGTAAAAAACTTTGCTAGGCAAATAAGATGTTGGTTCAAATCGCACATGAATCTTAAAATATTGTATGGGTGCTATCAGATAAGAAAAGCTGAGTTCAACATTTTATATATTAAATAGCTACATATTTTTCATGCAAAGCATTTCTGCTGTAAAACTGTGTAATTAAAATAGTTTTTCCTCTAGTCTTCCTGCAGCAGATGGTAGAAGTATTAGTGCCCAATGGAATTAGCTACAAAATGACTACTTGTCCAAAAGCTTTAAAATTAATTACCTTCCTTCATTGATGAGTTCAATAAAAGCAAGTCCAGCATTCTTTTGAATAGAATTTTGCCATTCCTGAAGGGAAATAATGAAAACACATTTTTAAAAAGAAGCAATTACATATGAAAGTATGCCTGCATTTAATTTTGATAAAAAGAGTATTCCATGAGAGTTTTACATGCATTGCTCTGGTTACCATATGCTCTGTCTTTATAAGACATCATCCATTGCAGTATTATGGCAGTATTGTAAATGTGTATCCAATGTGTATCCAATGTGTAAGCCAAAATACCAGAAATATCTACCAGTTCAAGATTTATCAGGTCAAAATTTTTGTTAGATTATTATTAAAACTAAGGCATTTAACAGGCAAATGGTTCAGAATCATGTCCTGAATTATACAGTTTTCAAGGTAAATTCTTAAACAGAAGACACCCCTCCAGGAGAGCCACAACATATATGGTTGGTTTGGGCAAAATGGTAAATCAGTGTTTAGCATTACAAGAACAGGCTTAGGTGAAAATCAGTGTTTTGTGTTCCCTCTCTTCCTCCAAAGTGGCCATGAATGATTAAAGAGCTTTTTAAACCCAAGACACTGTTAAGAATTGTTAAAGAAAATAAGTCAGCTTTGAAACTTACAAAGCTCACTTTCACTAATCATGGTTAAAATTAACCATAACATGGTTTAGATAACATGGTAAATGGAAATGAAAAATTGTGATCTCTTCCTTTGGCCACTTGGAAAAAAAAGTATATATACAGTAGAGGTTTACTGTGGCTCATACCTGCAACATTAAACTACAGCTCAGCATAACAATGCACACCAGATCAGTGCCAGTGTTATACCAATTTTTGCAATAGTAAGACAAATATGCTAAAATCTTTCATAGTTACAGGCATCCTTTCAAGCTGGGTTTAAAAATGTCTAGTTACGATGGTGACATGGAACTGTGCTGTTCCTCACCTACTCCCTAGTCTCGTACAGCTTGTAAAGTAATTTTCCATTGTATTAAATCACACTTTGCAAAATTCTTAAGACATTTCTTCAGAAAATAAGTTCTTCTGATCATATTTTTAATTTTTCAAAACTTATTTTAACAGATTATCTTTCCCAAATCACCATTGCCAATGATATTTAAGTTCTGAAAACAAGTATTCATCAGTTCATATACTAAAAACAAAGTTTAAGAACATAGAGATCCCAACAAATTCTTTCCCCATACAGATTCTTGGCCAGATTTGGGGTTTGGAAGGATTCTGGCCCAGATTCTGACCTGGATTTATTTGATGCCTGTAAGCTTCTAGGAGTTTCCAGATAGTGCTATGACTCACCAGTGATATAATTATTTAACTGTTATATCTAAGCAGAAGACATGCCTGTGCAAATTTGACAAGGTCTAGGAAAACTTGGATTGTCCTCAGATTATTCTGGGTCTGGTGAACCTGCATACAGAATTTCAGCACACTGTAAAGGTTGGCCACATGTCAAAATACTCTGTGAATTGTGCCAGGCATAGCACCCATGCCAGAAACCAATACAGATTTCAGAAGCTATTTCAGAGGTTTGGGCAGTGTTAAATATATATAAATCTTGTTTTTGAAATGATAGAATTCCAAAGGACTGTCCTGAATATATAGACTGCCTTTTGATGTTGTTGTTGCGAAGTCGTATCTGACTTATCATGTGACATCTACCAAAATTTATGTTAAAATTCTATTTCTCATTGACATATTTTAGGGAAGCAGGTCTTCACACACCCAAGTAGCACTGTTTATGAAGTTCACCTCCTAATACATTTTCTTTTTTTAATTGTGTTCATCCAGAACAAATTAGCAATATTAAATATATAAACATATATCCTTATGAAATTCCTGAACAGGATGACATACTTGATAATTAGTCAAAAGTAACAACCAATTTATCAATATAATTCTCTCTTTCGTATCCACTAGGCATGCTTAGCAACCATAATTCTTCTTTTCTGACCACATTTAATTGCTTGACTGATCGACTACACATTGTTTCTCAGTACTGACGTGTAATAAAACAAATTTCTATCTTTCAGGCATTCATTGCAATGTCCTATTATAAGATTTTATATTTTTAAAAATCCAATAACTTTATCACATGTCATTAGCTTTGCCCAAGAACAATACTGATCAGTTGCTAGGCAATATTCCGATTTAATAACACAGAATACACAGCAATGACTGGTGAATCCATACTGTTATAAGAGTTCTAATACATTGTCTTTTTTACAAACCAAATTCAAGATGCTGCTTTCTACATTTTGAAGCCCTGAATGGCTTAGAGCCAAGATACTTTTAGGACACCTTTTCTCAGAAAATTTTTCAGGTATCATAATCAGATGTTCTTCTGTTCCTATGAATTAAGAGATATGAGATGGTGGGGTGGCAGTCTCACATTCATAATGTTACAAATCATGGTTGCTGACTTCTTTCCTCTAAGATTCCGGAAATGAAACCAGGCATACAGAATCCACTACAGATAGACACCCTTCCTCTGCTATATAACAATTTCAGCGACTTCTTACAATTTTATTATTGTTGTGCCATCAACAATAGTACACAATGGGTGCTGGTTCTATTCTGTATAACCAGGTCTGTATGATACCATTTTCAGTTGCTATGATGGTCTCGGTAGAACCATGGAATAGTGTTTAATCAGCAAACTTTTTTCTTCCTGATCCAATTCTGTTTGGATTTGCTCTGTGCCTGGGATAGGCTAAGGAATGACCAAGAGATCAATTGCACTGAAGATCCAGCATCCAATTCACTCACAACCTGAGCCTGAATTCAAATGTTGCTTTTATTCACTTTTTACATATCACTGTAAGAGAGTGAACTTTTAAAAATATATACTGTAGTAGGCAAGAGAAAACTTTTGTGTCCACATGTATAGAACAGGGGTCAGGGTGGGGGCAATTATCAGAAAATGGGAATGTGATTCAGTAAGCAGTAAGCAGAGGAGAGGGTGGCTGCCTGGAATTACAGATATCTGATTGGCTGGTTGCTCGGAAACTCATAGAGTGACCTAAACAGAGGACTCTGAGAGCAGTAGTTTCAGGTAACTTTACTGAGCCTGTGTGATCATTATTCCTTGCAACCCAACTCTAATCAATGAAAATTCTTTGGCTTTAAAATGAATCATCTTACCATGTCACAAACTTCTCCCATTTAAACCAAACCAACAAATGAAGATTTTACAATTTCATTGTAATAATAAGAGTAAACTCTTAATGTTGAAACCCTGGATGATTGATAGCCAGCAAATCAAGCCCTGGAGCTGCCCAGGCCTGACATGCTAGTAATTCATGCCAGTATGTGTGAAAAGGCTCCCAATTTATGCAATTGCGTACTTGATACATTGCGTCTTGATTATAATTGAAAAAATAATTTAAGAATTTTAACTTAATTTAATATGCTCTTCATTATCGACATTTGTTAAAAAAAAAAGAAAATTTAAATAAAAAACTGAACAAGCAGAATAAAAACATGAAAATTCTTCAGGAACACCTGCAATTATATCACTATCTACTCCTGGAAACTTGGCATACCAAAGAGCCATTTCAAAAATGCCTGAAGCACCTACTAAAACACAGAAATTACATGAAGGTGAATTTTAAAAAAGAAAATATGATGAAAGCTGCTTAAGTTTTGGATTTGCTTAGACTGAAAGTGAAGACAAACCAAACAGAATGTGTGTCAAATGAAACAAAGTCCAAAGTTCGCAAGATTAAGAAAATATATGGAAAGTAATGACCCATATTTGATAGGTAAAAACAAATATTATAATTATAAATATTAAGAGGTCAAAAGCAAGAAAATATTTTTTCAAAATTGATGTACAACTCTAATGAAAAGTCACTCGAGGCTTCCTATTTCATTAATCATATTGCTAAAGAAGGGAAGGTATACAGACTTGGCAAAAGATTAATAAAAACTCGCGCCAAGATCTAATTACCTGAGATAGGTGAGAAATCTGCCAAACAAATAGATAGTGTACCTCTCTTTGATACAATGGTTGAGAGATGCATTAACAATAACACACGTTTCGTGAGGATGAATTAATATATCATTAAAATATTCTCCCCATGGTTTCACAATGCAATTAGATGACATTGCTAGTTCGGCTATTTCAATTAAAATTAATCCAGAAAAAATAAAAGACGTTTTAGATGATCTCATGAAAATCATGAATTTTATCAAATCCAGGGATCTAAACTCACAATTTTTCTCAGTATTCTGTGAGGCTAGCTAGCTAGTTCTCATAAAACATTGTTTCTACTTGCTAAGGCACACCAGCTATTCTGAGAAAAAAAATTGAGCAGGTTTTATAAGCTGAAAGAAGAGGTATTTTTTTAAAAAAGTCAATTGAAACATGATTATTGCTCAAAATTGCATGACAACATATGGATTCAGATTCAGATTATGATGTACCTAGCAGATATATTTGCAATTTTAAATGAAGGAAATATACCCCTCCAAGGAACTAAAGTCCATATATTTAAAGTTAAATATAAAATAAATGTCTCAGTTTTGAAATTTAATGTATAGATTTCATACACACACAAAATATCAACTGTTTTGAAAAATTAAGTGACTTTTTGATACAAAAGCATTTCACTTTTCATAAAATTGTTCAAGAATTCATAATAGAGCTTTTTTATGATTCAAAGAAACTATTAAAATATATTTTTCCAGCACAGAGTAATACAATGGATTAAAATCCAATTTAATATTGTCATAATAAAAAATTATCAATGAAAGAAAAGAAGCGATTGATATGCTACAGATTTGACCTTAAAAATTAAGTGCCAATAAGAAAAACTTCTTGATTTTTGGTTGTAAATTTCCAGTGAATATTCAACAGTTCCTAATCATGCAATATGCATATGCCTTTTATTGCAACCCATCTACATATACAGTGACAAAAATGAATGCATGAATAAAATGAGTGCATAACGAGAAATGTGCAACCAAATTTTGTTTTTCTTTGGAATAAAAAAACAAGTAGATCATCGTTATTAAAATTAAGTATAATTTTCATATTA